GGGCAGGGGCGTGGGGAGGGGGTTAACAGGGTGCTTGGATATGTTGCTAAATGAGCAAATATGCGATCACAGGACAGGGCCATGGCTTGACAATATGCCAAGCGCAGCAAACACAGCAGGCAATACAGCTTTACAGGACAACAGGCAGCGTGCCTCTTCACCTTGGTGGGGCTAACACCATCAGAGGGGGCGTCGTCCTGCACATCCTTCTTCTGGCGCTTGCTGGCCTGGCCAGCGCCCTTGCCCCCCTTGCGCTTTGCGGCCTTGCCCTTGCCCTTGCGCACAGTGCCGTCGCTGCTGCCTTCCGCCTCCTCGCCCTCTTGACCGCTGCCGCCAACGCCGTCGTGCGCGCCATTTTTGGCGGTGGGCTTCTCGCTGATGACCGCCAGCTGCTCCGTGAGGAACTGAGTGTACATGCCGGTACGGTTGAGCAGTGCGTCCAGCTGTTTGAACCGCTCCTTGCTCAGCACAGCCTGGTGGAGTCGGAAGGGATTGAAACGAAAACACAGGAGTCACAAGGTGTCGCGTTGTGGCGCCGATGACAAGCATTAATGCTTGTGCGGGTCACGAGGCGGAATCGCAAAGCCCGCCCCATCGTGGAGAGTACAACGCCAACGTCACAGCAGGCTGCTGATGCTGCAGGCTGCAGGCTGCAGGATGAACCGGTTTGTGCGGCATCCCGCGGTGCTCCCTGGCCACGCGCTTCCCCACCTCCTTGGCACTGGTGGGAGGGTCCGCCTGGGCAGGTTGGTAGGTGAAGACAGTGCACGCAAGATAAGTTGACCCATGTGCGCGTTCAGGATGTGTCCGTTGACATGAATGCCCTGGCACAGAGTGGCGCAGATTGTGGCGTCTTGAAGCAGACACAAGCCACGGCCGACACACACATAGCACGGGCACTCACCACAGGGCCGGCCTCCTGCTCGCGCTCCTGCCGCAGCCTCTCCTCCTCCTCGCACATAGTCTCGGGGGCCAATGCACGCTGAACCTCCTCCTCCTGCATGCACAGCCGGGAACCCACGGCCAAAGCTGAGTGCTCACAGCAGCAGCGGCTTGGCAACCACGGGTGTGGTGCTCAAGGCGCAGCCCGCATGAGCTGCGCGCGCATCAGGCAGCCACCCGCCCGCCATGGCAATGCGCCATCAGGCTCTCGCTTACAGTGACGGGCTGCGTGGATGACACGACGCCCTCGAGTGCGCTGCTGCTGTCCATCTTGGCGAGAGGGGACGGCTTTGTTGCTGTTGCCTCCTCCTGGTCTACGGCGTGCTGCGGTGGGCAGTCTTGCTGCGCGACAGCCACTGCAGCCATGTTTTGCGAAACTCGCGTTGTATGGCTTTGCTGCTGGCCGGCAGCAGGCGATCTGGCGCGAAGTGTTTGCCGCGCGGCGCAAAATGCAGGATGGTGATCAGTTTCTGGTAGAATAAAATTGCAGAGTATTATGTGGTGGCACTGGGCGCCTCTGATGCATGGGTTGCAGCGGGTGACAAGGGCCGCTGCGCTCTTCGAACTGCACCCAGTGCTGATCGATTCTTGGTTGAATTTTCGAACTTGCGAAACTGCCTGCAGGCAGCAGGCACTCCTTTGTCACAGTTGATTAAATTGCTATACATTTCAGCAAAAGACTTTAGGGTTTCAAAAGGCATTCGGAATGCAGTCGTTGCACGCATTGCGTCGCAAATTGGTGCAGGGCAATGCTTGAGGTACTGTGAGGTGCACCAGGTACGCCAAGCAAGCAGGTGGCCGAATGCTACCATCCCTGTGTCTTCTGGGGTTTTAACTTTTGACAATTGCAAGCTCCGTGGTGTTAGATACGCAGGGAGGTGATGCTCTTCAATTTTACTGCGCTCGTGAAGCACGTTTGTGGGTGAGGTATCGCGCTGGCTGTGCTGCTTGTGCTCTGGAGCGGTTGGTGGCGTCAAACCCGAGCCAATTTGCAGGGCTTACACTAGTTACCTACCAGTATGGCACTCGAACACCTGAACGCCCTTGAGGCAGTCGTGGGCGGCGCCGCAATGATGCCCACCAGGTCGCTTACGCAGAGATAAGGTTACCGCAGATATCAAGTCACCACAGTTGCACTGCTGGCCGCAACTGCTGTAAGCATCAGCATGACCAGCCTGATCATGGCCCCGTGGACAAGAATGCTGCTTACCCCAAGTGTGTGTCAGCGACCCTCTAGCTGCATTTCGGAGCCACTTGCTAACCGCTGTTCAACTGATAGCAGGGCCCACCGCAGTTGTTAAGGATAAATTTGTTCAACACTGCATGCAACCGATTCCTGTCGTTTGTTGATTGTTGAAAGATAGAATTGCTTGTGCCGGTCAGATTTGAGCATTTGTTGTGCGCAGCATGATGCGTGCCTGTCTTAACAACATGTTTGGGATTCGAATCTACACAGCTCCAACTTCAAGTAGCACTTGCGTTGTCACCAACAACAGCGGCTGCAGCGACCAGCAGCTGAAGACAGTGCAAGTTTTAGTAGTGGAGCGGAAGAAACCACTTTGCACAATTGGTTTTTACACATTCATATATTGGGGCGCTGCTGGACAAACGGGCTGCTGCATCCACCCCCCAAGCGCTGCGTCAACCGGGCAAACAGGAATGTGGGCGAAGGATCCACTCTGTTGGCCTCATCGATGAGGCGGTGCAGGGCATCCAGGCACCATCTGCGATTCTCCTCGCGTGTCGAGAAGCGGTCGCAGGTGATCTTGACATCGCCGGTCTCACGGTCATACCTGGGTTTGCGAGGGGAGCAGGATTGTCAACATGCGCAATACACTGAGAGCAGGTTGTGATATATCACCCGCCAGAGGCATGACAGGTTTCAGCCACACCACTGTTGCTGATAAACATTAGCTCGTGGTCATGGAGACCCAAGTCGATACCCTGCACCGCGTACGCACAATCGCCGCCCTCCCTGTCACCTGCCCGCCTCCTCCTTGAAGCCCGCCACGAGGATCATGTGCTTCATCGCGGCAGGAGTGAGCCCAACCTCCACTGCCAACTCGTGCACGTGCACTCGCAACGCCACCTTGCGCTCGTCAGGGTGCGGCTCCGTTGCGGCGGTCGCGTGAAAGTAGAGCTGCTGCTC